TGGTATGTGGGGAGTTGTTTTGTTTTGTTTGTTTGTTTTAGAGACAAGGTATCTCTATGTAACAGCCCTGGCTGTCCTGGAACTCACTCTGTAGACCAGGCTGGTCTCAAACTCAGAGAGATTTGCCTGCCTCTGCCTCCAGGGTACTGGGATTAAAGGTGTGTGCCACCGTGCCCAGCCAGGAATCTTCTTTGATTACTCTTCTAGATTATGTTTTGAGACTGGGTCTCTCACTGAAGAGCTTGCCAGATTGGCAGGAAAGGTTGTCCTGTGACCTCCAGGGATCTGCCTGACTCTGCCTGGCTCTGCCTCGGCCATATTGTGATTATAGACATAGGAAAACATGGTCGCTAGATCCTCACACTTGTTTGGCAAGCACTTGCCCCACTAGGCCATCTCCCCAGTCCTGTATTGGTTTTTTTTTTCTTTTTGACAGTCTTACAGTTCATTCCATCTTAGAGTCCTTTTATCTTTTTAGCTCCACTTTGGCAGCATTTTATCTGTACTTCTCACATATGTCTTTGTTATTCAGTTAAGCATTTGCTTCTACTTGCATTTTCTTTTCTGTTTGGAACTTCTATTAATTGAATGTTAGACTGTGTGTGCTGTACTCCAAATCTCCTAGTTTGCTTCCTCTTTATTCTTTCCTCTTTTCTTAAAGAGGTTCTCAGTCATATATTCCAATCCATTGCTCATACTCTTAACAGTATCTAAATCCTTTATTAGTCCTTCCTGTTTAATTTTAAACCTTATTATCCAAGTTTAATATTTCTGCTGGGTTTTAATTTCTTAGTTTTTCCTCATGATGTTGCTATTTTTTTCTTACCCCTATAAATAAAGTTAGCTTACCTAATTATACTGTTGTTCTGATAAACTGAACTGGGTAATCAGTGTCATATTGATTATGATCGTCCTTCCAGAATAGCCGTGTTCCTCGGTGCATGGATACTTGGGTCTGTAAGCCTGTGTTCCTGCGAGGTTATCAGACCCGCCTTCTGGTAGTGGATGTGATCAAGGAAGACTAACTGTAGATGAAACTGGCCAGCCAATGAGTTCTCTGTGGCAGCATAGAGAAGAATCGATTTCAAAAGTATCGTACAACCTGTGCTGTCCCTTTCAGTACTGTTTGGTCTCGCTGCTTATTGTAATAAGACTAATTCTGGCCTTGCTGAGAAAGCTGAGGAATTTATTTGATTTTACCTCTTGTGTTTCCTGAAGAGGGTTGTATAAACTTGATGAGAGCTCATCATCAAATTCTCAGTCTGCTGTCACTAGTGATGCCACCTGAGCCTGGAGAGTCTTTGTAGTGTGAGAGTTTTAACTTCAAAATAAGCTTTGAAGAATAGTTGTCAAACTCAATACATTATCATATGTCACATTGGGGGAGCTCTAGTAGACAGTGGTGTTCGAGGAGTGGTCCCTGTCATCCATGTTGCTGAACTTATTTACATAGAGTTGTTGCGCTACTGAACAGAACAGGGGCGTGTGGCCGCCCTTTGGGGAAATTTTAAGTCTCGTTGAGCAGCACTACTATTTACTGTGGTTTATAAGATAACCTCATAAGTGCTCCAGAAAGAACTTATATAGAGCTTATATATCGCTAGTCACAGGATTTGATTTGGCCCATTTTAAATTGTATCATCGCCAATGTTTACAGAAAAATCTAATTTTGTGTCCTCTTTTGTTATCATAGGGATGGATGTTAGCGCTCACACAGCACTAAACATCTAATCAGTACCGTCGGGGTAGTCACTTGTTGGGCTCTGTTCTGAATGCTAAGGACAAAGTGGTGAATGACATGTCAGATGCCTATCCCTGTGAATTTTTTTAGTAATAAAAGAAGATTGGTTATATTAACTTACATGATATAGTCCAGAAAATTCAACAATGGCTATATCACAGTGGAGGGGTTGAGACTTTATAAAATTTTTACTGAAAGGATGGAGGCACCAAAAAAAATACCCCCACCTCCAAAAGGAAACGTGTTGGTTTAAGTAATGCTATGTCTGCAAAGATAAACAGTAGGGCATCTCTTGCCTTCAGTAGAATGTCCATCTCCTTACACGGCATGGTTTGGTTACTGGTATCACATCCCTCCAACCCAATGCTTGTTTGCTGTTAGCCAAATCTTCACTTTTCCAAATAGTATGTGACTTTCCACATGGCTGGAGTGCCTTCTCCACAAGATCATGGGTGATCTCTGTCAGTTCCTAAAGTAAGAAAGCCTCCTGATTAGCGCTTGTCAAATTCTACTCCATTCCATCACCTCATTTCTCAGCCCCTCTTCACCAGCTTCCAGCTTCACCGCATACCCACGCTGATGCCCTGCTATCCTCCCATGTCTGTCTCTGTCTCAGAGCACTGAGAACTTGAGATCTCATTTGTTTCTTCCACAAAACCATGAGCCAACCGAAAGACGTCTTCTCTCCCCTTGTATATCCCCATCGCTTATCCTGGTATTTAGAAATCAGGAGACACTTTCCCATATGTTTGTTAAGTGAATAGCAAGACAACAAGGCGATAAATTTGAAGATTCTCTGAAAAAGTTGAAGTAGTAAAGTAAGCTCATATGAACTGATTGACAGCTAGACTTGGGCTGTACCCCCAAAGTTTTGTCAGTTACTTTGCAAATATGGGTTGTTAGTTTTAACATAGTGGATAATTCTGTGGAGAAATATACATTGTTCTGCATTTACTGAGAAACCTGCTGTAGCTGCTCACAGAGGAACACTCTGATGTCACAGTTTTGGTTCTGATGCTGAGTCCATCAGACTGAATGGCAGGCGGAGGCTCTCTACAACAATTATGGTGAGCCCATCAGAGAAGACAGAAGGTAGAGGCTCTCTAGAGCTATTATGCTGAGTCCATCAGAGTGGGCAGCAGGCAGAGGCTCTCTAGAGCTATTAAATCTGACCATTTTAAAGACTGTGTGTGCCCAAGGACACAAAACAAGCGAGGGCTGGAAAAGGACAGAGAAAGCTTTTCTGCTCACCCCCCACTGGCAAAGAGCCATCCGAGTGCCCTGTGTGTTGTGAAGATAGCTGCTCTCCACTCAGTGTGCAGCCTTTGATGCCCAACATAAACCAGTTTCAGAGCAATTCTTCCAGTGAATGCCCTGGGCCTATGTATCATACAATTACATCTAGAAATACTTAACCAGGAGACATTTCAGTGTACTGATCACTTGGCATTGCTTTCCTTCTAACTTGGTAAATCACCATAGCCTGTGCTTTTAAGAAAAATGCTACTTTATTCAATCAGACTCAAATTATTGCACCAAAAGGAAGAAAAGCCTCCCAGGTTATGTGTATGGTCAGAAAAATTATTAGGATGATAAGTTTTAGGGTTAAAGGTAGGTCTCTGATTAGATGGCATGGCATGGCATCTAGGGAGCAGAGGATGCCTGTGATCAGCCCCGATAATCCTCTAAAACATACAAGGTCACGCTGTGCACATTGACCCAACAGGTCAATCAGAACATGAGATAGTTTTTATAATTGCTAACTGAGCCAAAGTCCAATACCTCCAGAGAAACACGGTGACATGATAAAGGCTGGGTCACAAGGCTTACACTCAAGGTGAAATATCCCCCCTTCTCTTCACCCCACCCAAAATGAAAGTTGGATGCCCAGGATAAAGTTACTGAGGCAGAAAGAACATGAAAAGGAAAGGGAGAAAGAGAGAGAAGAGGGGAGACAGGAAGATGTGTGTGAGAGGAAGGAGAGAAAAACTCCATCATCCACATAGTCATATGGATCTATATAAGCAGGGAGGGCTGGCCTAGAGGCCTCCAAGGTAACATCTCATTTACTCTCCACCTCTTGGATTCTGAGAAAAGAAACATGTAAACTACAAATAACAACTCTATCTGAAGCACTATGGTAAGACCTCTGAGCCTGTCTCCCTGCTTGGCACTATGATGTGGTGGAGCGGGGATGGAACACCGGAATCTGAGCAATAATGAAATAAATGACTTGAGAGCTCTCAGCAAGCCTCTGCTTTCTCTTATGAGATTAAAGGGACTGGTAGGTTGATCAAGGACTAGTGGGTCTGAGGCAATCTTGGGATGCTTTCAAGGCTGGAGCAGGATGGAGGAAATCTTCATGCCACATCTTTTCCAAATTCCCACGGAATGGAGATCCCAGGTTGCTGCTTCTGATCATCTATAAAAGCAAAATGCTTCTTGATTGCCTTTCCCACTAATGCTATAGACGAAATTACAGTAAATCAAATCTCTTAACAACCAGATGGCCTTGTAATTTGTCAAGGGTAAGGCAAGTGCACCCAGCAACCATGCATCAACCTCCCACACACTAGGACAGTGCCTCCACCTGCCAGCTTACTATGGGAGCTCAAAAGGAGTAGCATATGGCCTTCCTTTCCCAGGGCTCATCTGAGACCTTTATCCCATCCATCTTTGGCATCCCTTAGATGCTTATTCCTTCAGCTGATATTATTCTTAACTTCCAACTTTAAAAATAAATGAATGGGTGTGTGTGTGTGTGTGTGTGACATCTACTTAGATACTTAAAATTCCCCTTCCCCGAAGCGAGCCATCTTCATTTTATCTTAATTTATTACATGCGCCTACATTAGGTCTAACTTTAGAATAACTAAGAATGGACTTGATACCCCTCAAAGTATCTATAACATAAATTTTAGTCATTGTCAATGAAGGAGAAGGAGCTTAGGTAAAATTGCTTACATAGTCTCAAAGTGGATTTGGTTTTATATGTGTATTTGAATGAGTTGGGCTGGGTTTGGGGGAGAGATTTTTGTGGCGGACCAGTGGAGTACTGAGAAAAATGGAGTTTTGTATCTCTAAGAAGCTGCTCTCAAGACCAGAGTCAAAGATAGCCTAGTTGGCTGGAAATGAGACCAGTGTCCCCAAAGCTATACAGAGAGGGGACAGAAGCTACCCATGGCTGTCCCTGGAGAAGAAACTAACCCCCAGGGAGGGGTGAGACATGAGTTCACAGGAGAAGAGATGTTGACTTTTATTTAAGGGAAGCATTTAATTGGAACATAACGCCTGCAATATTTTGTACCTATATGTCAAATACAAAAATCACTTACTCATTACATAGATGAATGATCCTTGCCAAACTGGAGTATGGGTTATAATTCTTTTTTTAAAAAGGTTTGCTTTTTAAAGACTTCATATTTTATTTGTATATGCATATATGTGTATGTGTATTTGTGTGTGTGTGTATACACATGTATGCAGGTGCTCACAAGGACTAAAGACGCGATCAGATTCCCTGGGTCTGGAATTACAACAGTTGTGAGTCGCCCGAGGTGGGTGCTGGGAACGAAACTTGATTCCTCCGAAAGAGCAGCAAAGGATCTTAAACACTGAGTCGTCTTCTCCATCCATGGATGTATTCCTTGTTTTAATAGATTTTACAGTACACTTTACTTGGGTTCTGAAATTTTGAATTCGACCTTCCTGAATAAGTCAATCTTGTAATCTTTCTGAGCGGTTTTTCTTCTCTGTTAAAGTAAGTGTTGGATCTCTATCAACCTTTCTCTAAAGTTTTTCACAAGAATTAAACAAAAAAACAAATTCTCTTTGTAAAGCATAAGTTTTACAGAACCATATCACCAATCCTTGATGTGACTATTCTTGAAAGTGTCCTGTTCCACCAACCTTTGGCAAACCTGTGGTAGCAATCCGGAGTATGGTCCTCGGAGTTAATATATCTCTGGGTCGGGTGGGTTGGGGGTGGGGACTTGATGAAGACCAGTAGCCTCTTCCTAACACAAAATGCTTTATAGACAACCTGTGATGGGGACTCTCAGGAATTTTAGTGTGCCATCTTCCTTGTGTGACATGCTCTGCCCAAGACATCCACTGTTCTGACTTTCCAAGCGGCAGGGTGTCACAGCTGTAGTGTGTAACACCACCAGGAGGCGCTGTTTGCTGACACCGGCTGTCTGGCTTCAATCGCTCCTCCTGTCTATCTCGGTTCCATAGAGAAACATAGCTGTATCATGTGGCCATGTTCTTCATTGGCCCAGAAGACCGCAGTTACAGAGCTCCCCAACCACCACGCCTCCCGTGGCAAGCTGTGCCTTTAGCTTGTCCTCTAGGCAGGGTCCTCCAGTATAGGCTGCTCTCTGCTTGCCTGGTAAGCACAAAACTTATCTCAGAGAAAAGTGCTTGAGGATTTAAGCTTCTCTTACAGCTAATTAGGTATTGTTTTACAGATTGGGCTGTTCCTTCTGAAAGATGAGCTGCAATTTACTTCCCCTGCCCTCTCCTTAAATTTAAACTGAACTGTAAAACATGGCTGTTTGATTGTTTAGTACAATCAAGAGATTGCTTTGCACAGGGAATAGACATTCATCTCTATGCTAATGCTGAGCTTATTTGGGCCCTCCTTAATGGCTACCATGTGGATGACAAAGACTTTGTTCAGATGCCATTCATCCATTCCATTCGAAAGGTGGTCCAGACAGTGGTCTACTGGCCCGTCTCTGAACAATCAGTGGCATCATCTTGTTTCCCTGCTGCAAGGGAGAAGACTTTATTACCCCCATTTTACTGATGAGGATGAGGATGCTCAAGACTTTTAGCTGTTAGTCAAGCAAACTGAGAAGCAGAGAATCCAGACCACAGACTCAGCTGCTAGTCCTCAGAGCCAGCATTCATTCAAGTTTCACACCTGCACACAGAATTTCACACCCACGCATCATGAATTATGCTCCTGGTGAAGTACCAACCACAAGACTCTTTAAAACATCCTCTGACCCAAGGGTCTTGGTGCATAATGGAGAAAGGAACCATTTTTTAAAAATTGCCTTTGGGCTGATAAGATGGCCAACAGGTAAAAGGCATTTGTTGCCCAAGCTTAGCAATCTGAGATCCATCCCCAGGACCCAAGGGTGGAAAGAAAGAACTGGCTCCCTCAGGTTGTTCTCTGACACCAAATGGATGCTGTGGCCTGAATGCATGCATGTGGCACGTATGCACACATGTAATAAATCTAAAATTTTCAATTGCTTTTCTTCTGTAGGGGGCCGTCTGTTCTCTCATCCTCAAGACTGTGCCCAGCATTTGATGAATGGAGATACTCTGAGTGGAGTTTACACCATCTTCCTCAATGGGGAGCTAAGGCACAAGCTGCAAGTATACTGTGACATGACCACAGACGGGGGCGGCTGGATTGTAAGTACATGCTGTAGGCACATCTTCAGGCTTCTAGTCTCCCTGACTGAGTACCTGTGGATTTCATTGTCACCATCCTTTAGACTGTCCTTTTCTCTACCCCCTTCACTTGGGTCTTGGTCTCCTCACTGCCTTCAAGACCCTCATTCAGGAGCCCACTCATAAGCAGAGAAAGGAATGACCATAGTTTTTTTGTTTGTTTGTTTGTTTCATTTTGTTGCTATGATAAACACCCAGACCAAAAGCAGCACAGGGGAGAAAAGTGTTTGACTTACACTTTCAATCTCTAATCCATCATCGAGGGATGTCAGAACTGGAACACAAACAGAAACTAAAGCAGAAAGCATGGAGGAAAGTTACTTATTGGCTTATGCTCAGCTATTTTTTATACAGCCCAGGCCCACCTCCCTCAGGTGGTGCTATACTCAGTGAGGTGGCCCTTCCCACTTCAGTCAAGATAATTCTTCATAGACATGGCCACTTGCCAATCTCCTGAGAGCAATTCTTCACTTGAGGTTTCTTCTTCCAAGATGACTCTGTGTTGGGTCAAGTTGACAATAAGAACTAAGCAGGACACATACAAAGGGTGCAGTGGCCTATCCCAAACAAGGGATGCAAGATGACTGCCTTCCTTGCTTTGGACTCCTTCTGCAAATCAACTGAATGCAGGGGCTGCTGGGGAAAGGAAAGGAGTGAGACATAACAATCCTGCTTGCCAAGGGTTGGAGCTAAAACAAAGAGGAGGCAGCCACCTCACAGAAGCACTTGAGACTCCCATGGTGAAGTAGTTAGTTTCCTAATGTTGGAGGGTAGCATATGGTAGATCAGATCTGGACAAAATGTGGATGACCCTCTAGTTACAAGAGCTGCTTTTGTCTTCATCCTTTTCTGGATCCCAAATTCCTCCCCAGAGCAACAGTGGTTGGGAGGGACACTACTTGCTGACACCACCTCCTCTCATATCTGATTGGCCAGTACAGAGCAGAAGATATAGGGCAGCTGGAGATGCTAGTCATTGCACACTTGAGCAAGTTCCTGAAGCTGCTCTAAACAGAGCAGCAGGGGTTGATTTCAGTGTGAATGGAAGCAGCCCCACCCATCCTCCTGTACACACCCTTATCGCTGCTCAGACACAGTCCTGGAGCTTTAATGTTCCACAACGGGACGGCTTGGAAGAGTTAAATTTTGACTACACGCATGATTCTCTGGGGAGACATTTTCTTTTATGTTTCTGACATATTTGTGCCTCCTTCTTGAAGCATAATTGGAAATTGAAGCCAAGGCTGATGTATTGGAGGTTAAATGAAATTAGCACTTAAACAGCTTGGAAAGTGAACGATATGCAATTGCTTTGCCTGCAATAAGATGATGACAGTGACTGGATGATTTGAAGTTGGTCCCAGTCCTTTGGTGAGAAATGCTTCCTGCTACTCTCTGTGGTGCAAAAAGATTAATTTGAGAATCAGGCCCATTTCCCCTGACTATTTGTAGCTTGATTTGTATCCTGAATCTTTTCTATATTGCAGGGGTGCAAATTAATGTCAATATCACACCCTCAGCCTATTTGTCAGAGGCATCAGCACTTCAAGAAAAGGGCTCTGAGCATCCCCTGCGAAAGCTACCACGGAAATATTAAGCTCACTTCTGAAATGGTCCTGATGCTAGCCGATACAGAACCCAGTCTTATGGAGCGTCTCCTCTCTTTTTCTTCACAGGTCTTCCAGAGGCGGCAGAACGGCCAAACTGATTTTTTCCGGAAATGGGCTGATTATCGCGTTGGCTTTGGGAATCTGGAGGATGAGTTTTGGCTAGGTAATATCCGCTTTGTGCTTTCTCTGCACAGGCTGCCCTGGGTTTCTGTCCATCTCTCTCCCTTCTGTGTCTGCCTGGGATTGTCAGAAGTGTGTGTCCATTGAGCAGTTGACAGCTTGTGAATTGCTTTTGTGCCTCTTGCTCCATTTGGCTCCACTATTGATCTGTTTTTATCTGACTGTGGTGTTTTCCTCTTTGCTCTGTCTCTTCCCATCCTCATTAATAGTCTTTTATGCTGATGGATCTTGACATGAGGCAAGTACAAAGACAAGGATCTGCCTGGTAGGGGCCTGATAGGGAACGGGGCACAGCACGGAAGCAATGGGTAGGCTGCCCCTGTCTCGGAAGCTAGGCAACCAGCTAGCCAGCCTGCAGGTCGAGAGAGAAATGAGACTCTGCTGGGTTCCTGGGAGACTGTTATTATCTGCTGTGGGAGGAGTCGGGGAAATGAGAGTGACATTAGAGGTGGTTTCCCAGAGGTGTGACACAGCAGGAAGCTTAGATGGAGGTTTAGGTGAGTATAGGAAGATAAACACACTCACGTCAGACTGATGATGGTGTGATGTCGGCTCATAAAGCAGTCAGAGTGTGAATGCCCACATTTCTCTGTAAGATTTCCCTAACGGTTGATAAAGGGAGGCAGAGAGAAACAAACACTCCTGCCACGTTCTTGTTCAAGCCTCACAGTCTTTCGAGGGTGGTGAGATCTCTGCCCTCAGGGTAACCTCATTGCCTACGTGGCTCTAGAATGATCGTCTTCATGTCCTGAATCTGAGGGAAGGGTAATATAACTCGGTAAAGTCTTTCCATGACTCCATCATCACCCAGTAAAGACCAAGTTCCTTAGCCAAGATACAAGACCCTTTAATCTCCTTCTGGATCCTTCTTTCCACCTTTTATCCCATCCCACTTCCCCAGCACTCACCTTTGAACCTGCACAATCATGGAAGGTTCCACTGCAAGAAACACTCCTTCAGCCAATTTTCTCTTTTCACCTTGGTATCTACCTACCTATATCCAAAGGCCAAGTTAAGCACCTCCTCCTCCATAGAAGCCGTACTGACTCTTTTCTTCCATTGCCTGTGTGATAATTGACCAAGTTCCCATATGGCCTGAATTATGGTATCTATTTTACTTTATTTGTTTAGACTATATTGTATGTTTCTTGGGGGTCTTATTATTCATCTTTAGACATCACTACCTAAAACTGCTTAAGGTACATGTATCTCAAGTGTCAATATCAATTAATGATAACAATTCATTGAGTATTTGTTAGATAGCCAAAACTATGTTTGTCAATACAGGAAATAAAAATGTTTGGTAAGAACCATATAAACACACTCAGAGAGAATTCAAACAAGCAGAAAAATGTGCTTCGATTTACAACATTTTCAAACAGCTTGGGAGTCAGTAATACCCATGAATCAATGTAGACATAAGTAGTCAAGAGTCATGGCTACAAAAACCTAAGCCACTGTGCACCCGGTTCACAGTTTCTATTATTTCTGTGAAACATATGAACTATTCAGCACTTAAATGTTCTATATATCACTTTCTATTTAATTAAATATATGCTTTAAAGAAGCTTTATCCGCTGCCAAAAAATGGAAAGCTTGTTGTTGTGTGCCATAAATAAAAAGATGCCTCGAAAGTACAAGTATCATTTAAAACTGAAAAACGAGAAGAGAGCAATATTAATATGATTAAATGACAGTTACATGTAAGAATACCAAGTCTATTGTCACTGCTGCAGCTGCTGCTGTTGTTGAATGATGATCAGAAAGGGCCCTGCGTTCAACCATCCGTGAAATACTAGAATAAACTGAGACTGGGAGTTGAGATTAGGGTCAAGGTTAGGGTTTCGCTTCCATCTTTTAAGAAAAGCTGAGTTGGAATGTGGAACCATCCCTGTTTGTTCAAGGTTATTTAGAGCTTTGTTCATACTTGTGTCTCTTCTCACTAGAGATGCCCTTTCACCCCCAGACTAACTGACAAATGACTAACAACAGGTCCCAGGTATCAGAGGTGGAAAGATCAGGGGAATGGGAAAGAGGACGGATAGGAGAGGAAGCAGGAATCCGTTTGGCATATGCAAATCAGGGACAGGGAGGAAATCCTCCAGCAGATGCAAGGAATAAGCCAGAGAAGGAAGAAAATGTGGTCAGGTCTGCAGCCTGGGAAGCATGTTACAGAAATTAGAAGCTGGAAAGAGAAGCCTTGACATAAGGTAAATGAGGCATGTTAGTTATTTTTCCTCACTGCTGCAGCAAAGTAACCAACTAAAGCAACTTAAAAAAAGGAGGGTTTATTCTGGCTCCTACTCGGAGGATCCAGGCCATCATGGCATCAGGAACAGAAACTGCAAAGAGAGCTGGAACTCAGTGCCCTTTCTCCTATTTCTTTAGTCCAGGCTCCCATCCTAATTGATTATCCAGCTGGCGTTCCAGGAGGTTCTTCCTACCACAGTTAGTCTAATCTAGACAGCCCCTCACAGACAGATCCAGAAGCTTCTGTCCAAAGGCACTTCTAAATCCAGTCAAGGTGACAATGAAGATGTCCCCACTATAGGAGGGTTTGCTAACAGAGACCTGAGGCTCTGTAGCTGAGCAGTGATACTCTATGGCCAGTAACCCTAGGTCTCCTAGCCCAAGTTAGGTTTTCTGGGACCAGATCCTAAAACAGGGATTCTCGTTCAAGTTATTTACTGGGGTGAGTTCTTATTCAAGTGGGATATTGAGAAGAGGATTGAATGAACAAGGAGAGACCCAAAAAAAAAAAAAAACAAACCATACACTCCCTTTATATGGAGCCCAAGAGATGTTCTGGAACATGAATTGCTTCTCTGAGTTGGCTCCCATCGGGCAAAGAAGCTAGTCTTCTGAACTTCCACTTCAGTCTCTGCCCAGAGTCTGCTCTGAGGTATGAGGAGAAGGAAGAAGTAACACATTTGGTCGGAGGACTTAACCCTCAGAGAGGCAGCTGTAGTCACCAGCAGTCAGCCTGTCTAGCAGCTGAGGGTTGGGCTCCCTAGATGCTGAAGAGCAGGCACATCACCCTCACACAGCACCTGCACGAGAGTCAAGGGCAGGCTGTGGGTCAGCAGCTCCACAAACAATATTTGAAAGCCTTCCGCTTGCAATCAAGGTAAAGCTTTAAATCTTAAGCAGGTAACTGAACCAAAGACCTGGGCCCTTGGCCACCCACTTCACTCTCTGAACCCTCTCCCGCAAAAAGAAGAGGGAGGTTTAACTCATCTCTAAATTTCCTAGTACCTATACCACTTTTTATTTCTAAATCATGGCACACTAAGATAGCTGGGGTCACATCAAATCGAAAAGGATCCAGCTTCCCGGGGCAGACAGAAATCTGGAAGCCTCAGAGTCCTCAGCAATACAAGGTCAATAGCTCAAAGTTTAGGTAGATAGGTCAAAATCAGAGAAAAGGGATATGAGAAAATATCAGTTCAGGGCTCTGCCTGAATTCTGACTTAAAGGGTTTTGTACCTTATAAGAATTTCCTATCCCAAGGCCTGGGATGCTGAGAGGGCAAGTGAGTGGGAGTTCAGAAGGACCAGTGAAGAGGTAGCCATAGCAGCTAAACATGTAGCACATGATGACACAAAAAAAGAAATGGAGCCAGGAGGCAACTAGCAACAGAGATGCTCTCCAACTTATAGTAGGGTATTACACATCTTCAGTGAAAATTCCTGGTAAGCTGAAAGGGTGTTTAACGTACTAAACTACTAAGCATAACAGGTTAGCTACCCAGTGTTCTGCAGAGTGTGACTGTTTGCTATTGTGGTCACATGATTGACTGGCTGCTGTGCTCGGTGGAGCTGATGCCCAACCTAAGGAGAGAGTATAGCATAGTGAATCTCTAGCCAAGGGAAAGGCCCAAATGCAAAGTGCAGTTTCTAACAAATGCAGATAGCTTCAACACCATCATAAGATGGAAAATTCATAAGTTCAGTTATCACAAACCCAGGACTCTCCATTTCTCTGACTTGTCTCTGGAGGCCCCAGGAATTCGGGACAGGAGGGAAGGGCAGCACAGTGCAATGTGGCCTGAGTCTTGAAGCGGCAAGGAACCCCTGCTGTGTCTGGGTATCTTGGATTCCCTTGACCACATGTTTCTACCTGTTGCTTCGTACAGCACACACCAAAAGGATCACACCTTTTCAAGACTTGTTGAGTTTTTGCTACCATCATTTGACATAGAAGATTTTGGGGAACATGGCCAAGAATCTTGAGTTTGGGGCTTGTCAGTTACTAGGTCAAGATTAGCTGGTAGGAACCAATATTGTCTGAGGTGACAGACCTGGGGTGACCCTCCTCACAAGAGGACAGTTAGAGCCTGGCAGGGTCTGTTTGAAACCAGCCCTGGTAGAGCGCAGAACAATGTGGATAACCAAGCCCTTTTCCATAGCATGTTTCCCTCCCATTGCCAAAGCTGCTGGGGCAAGACTCAGTACACAGTCTGTTTCTCCCCACAGGACTAGATAACATCCACAGGATAACAGCCCAGGGCCGCTACGAGCTGCGAGTTGATATGAGGGACGGCCAGGAGGCAGCCTTTGCCTACTATGACAAGTTCGCTGTAGAGGACAGCAGAAGCCTATACAAGCTCCGCATAGGAGGCTACAATGGCACTGCAGGTACCCAGGGGCCCTTGCTGACTCCATGGGCAGTGGGTGTGTGCTGGTCCTGTGCTGCAGAGGAAGCAGCAGAACTCATCAGGTTCATGAACTATCTGCTAGCCGTGAAGGAGACAGTTGGGCCATTCACACTGATTCTTCCTATCTATTCAGGAGACCGGGAATCAATCTTTTAGGGCTTGAGTTTTCTCCAATGGAAAAATATAATAAATAGTGATAGCATCTGGAAAATTATGGTAGTGATGTCTGTCCCGCTTTACAGACTAGGCAGAAATTTTGTTGTAAGTGCAATAAATATGTCTGTAAGGTTTACTTGGAAAGAATGTCATGGGAAAGAATGCTTATCTAGATTAATCTGTGTGGGCTCCCATTTGAAGTGGGCAGAACTATTTCTCATCTTAGTAGGCATCTCCTTACAATGGCAACTGGGACAATGACCTTTGAACTAATGAAACAATTCAGATTCCCCAATCTTTAAGATGTTCCCTGTCTTAGGGTTTCTATTGCTGCAATGAAACAACGTGGCCCAAAAGCAAATTGGAGAGGAAAGGGTTTCTTTGGCTTACACTTCAGATCACAGTCCATCATTAGAGAAGGTCAGAACAGAAACTCAACCAGGGCTAGAACCCAATGCAGAGGCCATGGAGGGGTACTGCTTACTGGCTTGTTTAGCCTGCTTTTCTATAGAACCCAGGACCACCAGCCCAGGGATGGTGCCACCCACCATGGGCTGGGCCCTTCAGCATTGATCACTAATTGAGAAAATGTGTTACAGCTGGGTTTCATGGAGGCATTTCCTCAACTGAGGCTCCGTCCTCTCTGATGACTCTATCTTAGGTCAAGCTGACATACAAAACCAGTCAGTACAGTTCCCCTCCCCCCATCAGCAGTCACCCTAGCACCCCACGAAGGAGCACAGGGCATTGCTCTAATGTTTCACTGGCCATGCTGCCTTTGTTCTCCCAAGCGTACCTGGTTGGGTTTCCAGTGCTGATTTTTATGGCATTTTTACCAAGCAGAACAACCATCTGTTTCAGCTCTCCCTACTCACAGTTCCATGAGAACACCTCGCCGGAGCTAGCCCTTAGCCGTTGCCTACTGTGCTCTATTACAGCATATTTTGTGAGGCCTGTTCTCCGGGGTACGCTACTGTTTGGGACATGGGGTTACTGGGCATCTCAGTCCTCTGATTTTAGAGTTAAATGCTGGTGTTTAATTTTAGCAGCATTTCCTATGACTCTTGGAATTAAAATGAACCTTGAGGTGTTGCCCCTCCAATTACTGCATCTACTCCATTATTTCCTTTCTCAACCAGGTATTGTTACTCTAAAGAGAAAACACGTGTCCCTTTGCTATTGTTCACAGCTGAGTCACTCACAGGAGCAATCAGAGGAGCCTGAAGAGCTCCAACAAAAGGTCCAATTTGCCACACTTTGAGCATAAAACAGCCATTGAAATGGACATTAAACAAGATGTCATACTAAATCATTTCAAAAACTAACCATTTACTATTCACTCCCTAGAATTAGAATTGCCCCTACAGAGAAGCCTTTCATGCTTCTCCCACGGGAAGAGAAACAAGCCGCCTACCTCAGTTTTGGTCTCCCCTCATCCCCCCCCCCCCATCTGGGGGTCGTCAATCCCATTTGTTGTCTGTCTACCTTGGTTCCAGCCCTGGAAACCTCTCTCCCAGGCCAGTTTCTCTGCTGCACCCCGGAGGGCAGAACTGTTAGACTGCACGCCCTTCCCCTGGATCAGAGTCCAGTGCTTCCTAAAGCTTGGCTGGTCAAATTAATGGTGATTCATCCTCTTCAATTGATAAAACTCAGGGTTCATTTAGGCTACACCATTTCTAGGCAACTGCTCACAGTTCATGTTGGGAAACAAAACCATGCCCCACTTCTTCCTGGCATTTGTAACACTTCCCAGTTCCTCTGGCTCTTACCACTTCTCCTGGCTCCACTGGCAACCAGCCACCCCAGGGCCTCCAGCATTTATGATGGCCCTCACCCTCCAAGACTATCTACTGAGACTCAAACTGAGAGTTCCAAACTGTGCCATCGGTAAGGGCAGAGCAACTCTTCCTGCCCAGCTTTAGGGGACTCTTACAGAGTAGCCACCTAGTTTAAAACAGAAATCACTGCAAAGTAGCTTTCTGCATAATAAATGGTACTCTAAGGTTAAGGACACTCATAGAAGGGTGTCTGTATTGTGTGCAAAGGATCTTTAAAATCTGCCTATTCATCTGAAATCACGACCAAAAAGCAAGAAGTTGCAGAAGGACTAGCTACAGTAGAGGGCAAGGCTTGATGGGCTCCCTAGAGCCAGCTGTATGGTTGCAAGGAACAAGAACTGAGGGCGGTGACACACACCTACTATAGCACATGGAAGGCTGAGATGGACAGATTGAGGACTAAGGCTAACCTGGACTATATAAGAAGATAGAGTAAAAAGGGGAGGGCAGTGGAAGAGAAGAGGGAGGGAGAGAGGAAAGGAGACAGAAAAATTAATTCCGAAAAGTCTTGGCACTGAAGGAGAAATTTAGTCTTTACATGGAGGGAGGCCTTGTAAGTCCGTAGTGGCATAATGGGATTTGGGTTTCAGAAAGATCTCTAGGCCAGCCCCAAGCAGGATAAAGGAATTCTGAGGGAAGAACAGAGAGACCAACTGGTGGCTGCTGTATTAATCCTGATGGGAGATAACAGGAGCCCTCGCTAATGTCAGAGCCACGAGAAAGGTATGATCTGAACAGTGGCTCGAGAGAAAGCCAGGGCTTAGCTCACGTCCTCATGTCTTGAATATATGAGGTACATGGATGTACAAATGAGGAGGGAGGGTACAAAGACCAAGGGGACCACATCTGAAACTATTGGTCAGCAACATCAAAGTAGAAACCAGAAAGGACCGGTGGGAGAATACGGAGGATGCCGTCCAGCGTGCAGGTGAGAGGACACGAACGTGAGCAGACACAAACCCGTCTGATGTCAGCAATGGGGCGCAGGAGGGTAAAACTGAACCAAGAACTTTTAAGGTAATGGTTCGAGTAGGCCTTGGGATAAAGGAGGTGAAGGTGATATTTAGGAGGGGAAGAGGAAAATATATTTTCTGCCATTCTCAAGCAGGAATAGAAGGAAAAACTGTTTCAGTTGGTGGGATTGGCTCTGGATGAGTACAACATCCAAATCCTTCAAAATTATATGGAGATGAGAAGGGTATGAAGCATTTGCCTCAGGACTCCCCTGTAAGACTGACTGGCCAGAGTTCACAGAAGTACTGAGTGGACATCAGGGACACAACTTGGCTGCCATAGAGTCAGAACTGTGCCCCTCTTAGAGGAAAGTGATCTTAAACATATCTAAGACAACTTTCATTCAACAAACAATGTGAGTTACTTCCCATCATCTCCAGCCACAAATCCCACCCCAGGTTTTACCAGTCATTATAGGTGAATGATGGTCTGATTCTCACCTTGAATAACTGGTTCACCTAAGCCACTGCACAACATCACTGACACGAGAACACGCAGTCCCCATTTGTCTCTGAAAGAAAATCTCACTGCAGTGTTAGACAGCCTATTAAGAATTTTCTTTTCCTATGTAGCCAAAATTTTCCTCTTTGCAGTCTCTGCGCATCCACCCTCCCATTTCCCCATAGAGTTTATTTATATGTATTTCTTTTTCAACAGCTCATCATATATTTGGCAATAGTGACCATAGATACTTTCTCTCTACCTAAGCCTGCTTCTCCCTAAAACACAGCCCATGTTCTACCCACTTCTCCTTCAGCATTGGTTATGATGTTCCCATCACCCTGTTTGTTGTAGATTGTAACTCTGGGTGCCCTTGTTCCTCTTCACAGGCAGAACCAAATTCTCAGGTGTGGGGTACTAGGTGCAGTCTGATCAGGGCCAGCAAGCACAGGGGAAAGGCAGGATGAACTTACATAGTGGAGATCCAGAATGGTCCAAATCATTGTGGCTCCTTGCATCTCCAAGGGCCACAATGGGAACCTGAGTGTTATGTGTCCCAGAAAAGCCTAGGGGAAATAGACAGTGGTGTTAAGATGGAGCTATATGGATAAAGTTACTAGCAAAACCTCAGTAGCGGAGAAGTGGATTAGAGAGGGAAACAGTGACCCCCCCCCCAACGAGGTAATATGGAAGGAAGGCTCAGCCTAGCCATGTTGCGGCTCAGAAGAAGCAAGAGAGGTAAGCCAGGGTACCACGCAGTAACTGGATGTCCACAACAAACGGGACTCCTGAATGCTTTTGATTTTCGTTTTTGCAGGAGACTCCCTCAGCTATCACCAGGGACGCCCTTTCTCCACGGAGGACAGAGACAACGACGTTGCAGTCACCAACTGTGCCATGTCATACAAGGGTGCTTGGTGGTATAAGAACTGCCACCGGACCAACCTCAATGGGAAGTACGGGGAGTCCAGGCACAGTCAGGTAGGCCATGTTCTGGCTGTGGTCAGTGTGGTCCAGAGGACAGAACCCATTTAAAAAGAAGTACTAGGAGCCCGAGAAAAGACCACATAAAGAGCACTTTGTGGGAGGAGATCAATTTGTCACAGACTTAGTACACTTTAAAAGGGGGCCCCAAAAGGAAGAGAGCAGAAACCTAAAGTAACCAGGGCTGTTTCCCAAAGAGACTGCAAGTCGACAGTCCGGGCTAGGTGACAAACAGTGGAACACACTCAGAGAAGCCCCCTTAGTTCTTGGCAAACCCAGAGGTTGCTCACCCCAGGTGGAAACCACCCAAGTCTCTGCATCGCAAAAGGAGCTGTCCACAATTACACTATTCAAAGTGCTTCCACATAGTTGGGATCTTGACACTCGCCATAGTCACCCTAGTGCAAGAAACCCCTGAAGGCAAAAACATAAAACTGGCAATAAGAAATGACCCACAACTTGCCTTGTATAAAGCCCCAGACCTGTTTAAAGGGAAAGCTGGAAGGAGACCCAGCTTTCTTCGTCACACTGGGAACTCTGCCACAAACTGCTTGTTGACAGAGAAGAGCAAAGTCCGTAAGTGGATCTCTCTTGATCCAGCCATTCTCCTCTTCTCTAGCTGTGGGGGAAGGGGTATCTGACACGTTCCTCTCTCTCACATGCAGGGGATCAACTGGTACCACTGGAAAGGCCATGAATTCTCCATCCCCTTTGTAGAAATGAAGATGCGGCCCTACAACCACCGGCTCACAGCCGGGAGAAAACGGCGAGCCTTGAAATTCTGAGCACTGGGCAGCCAGCCACCAGCCAGACGATCTTTTCCGTCATTTGTTTGTATTTTATAATATGAGACAAGGGGGGAGGGGCAACAGTAACGTGCTTCACAACATACTCAGAGCATCTGAAGGAAGCAGGGATCAGTTAGGTACCATCTGCTCATAGTCTCTGCTGCCTTGGAGCCTGACCCTCGGGCTACATGCTCCCTGCTAATCAGTCCTCCGTAATCATCCCCTCCTTTCTCACAGAGGAGGAAAACTGGGGAGTGGAAAACACAATTCAAAAACCATAAAATACAAATTGTTATGGTGACAGGCACACACACCTTCTTCCTCTACCCTCTCCTGAGACACCTTCCTCTTCTAAATAATAGTAAACTGGTCACAGCCGACCATGGCCAGGTGACCACACCAGCACAGGGGAGCTCCAGTAAGAAAGCTTGGCCAGTCTCCTCTTAAGAGCGAAGACACCTGCCACATCCCAACACAACAGCCCAAATTCATTGAAATGGGCTAAAGATTTTCACATTCTGGCACTTAACACACAGGAGGAGTGTCTTCTCTTCCAGCCCCACCCCTTCCCTAGTTCTATTCCCTAGAGCCTATAGACCTAACAACCCAGTCATTGTTTAAGACTCCAGTTGCCAAAGCTGTCTGCTCGTGCCCTTGGATGTCATAAGCCACTGTCATGGAATAACTCTGGTGGTGAGACTGGGAGAAGGGTTTTGTTTTTAGCTTACATCAGGCATTGAGAAGGGACAGGAGTAGAAATCAGGGCACCTACCAGGGAGTCTGTAAGTCCCACTGGAAACTGACCTTACTTAGAGATTCTTTTTTGGACCATGCATTCGTTCCCCTGATGTCCTAGTTGAAGATCTCTAGTTCTGTCTTCAGCCAGGCTACTCTCAGTGCAAGTGGCTTAGCAATAATCAGGGAAAGAAGTTGTATGAGCATCAGCCATTCTGCTGACCAATATATCGCCCTAGGAGGAGAGAGAATGGTTGTTCTCGTCTTTTGTTTTGGTCCTGTGGTAGGTAGAGCCAACGCGCCCCCCCCCCCAAGAGGTGAGATCATGAGAAACATTTTCCACACCCCTTTATTATTCTGCTTTGAGGAGAAAAATAAAAAGTGCCAGAAGAAATTGCATTTAGAACTCCAAAGGTGAGAGGAGCGAACTCTCCGCCCCCACGTGATTTGATTTTTAAGCCTCGGGGAACTGGAAGCTATAGAAGCCATGACCTCTCAGCTTCTCCACAAATCAAAACCCAGCCAGTCTTCCCTGCAGCATCTTCCCAAACTGCACCAAAATTCTCAGCTGGTCTCTCCCTGTCCTCACTCGTCCCGGAGGCCCCACTGTGTCTGCTATAGGGCCCATGGCTGCCATCTGGGGCATCTTGTACCTTTGCCAACCACAGTTACAGGATGAATTGACATTTTGTAATAGAAACAGACACCATCTAATCAAGCTTTGAACCAGAAGCAACAGGCCTCTTGGAGGACAATCACACACCTAGCATTGTGAAGTTGGAGTCTGCTTGCCATTTTCTGTAGCCTTCTCCATCTTTGTGATGGAGACTCACTGCCACACTCATGGCCAAACAGTACAAGTAGAGTTTTTATTTCTTAATCCAACATGTACTTCAAACAGCTAAGAGAAGGAGGAATAAAGAGGAATCTATAAGTTATATGAGATTTAACTATATATAAGCCAACCATGCAGCATGGGAGGTAAACATACTCAGTTAGGGATATAAGGCCACCTCTAAGACCTTGATGGGTTTATTCACATCTCTGGGCCTCAGGTTCCTCACCTATTGAATCTGAGTTTAGACCAAAAGGATTTCTGACACCCCTTCAGTTTTCAGCCCATAATGTGAATCTGTGATAGGAAACACAGGATCAAAGTTGGCCTTGGTGTGCCATCGCAATGAAGGAAAAGTAAGAATTCCCACAGAGGAGATGGAGGAAGGGAAGGAACAAAAGGGAAGGAGGAAGGAGACAGAGAACTCTCTCTGTCTCTCTCTCTCTCTGTCTCTCTCTCTCTCTCTCTGTGTGTGTGTGTGTGTGTGTGTGTGTGTGTGTGTGAGAGAGAGAGAGAGAGAGAGAGAGAGAGAGAGAGAGAGAACAATGCCAAAAGGAGCTAAAGTCATTATGTATTATGTCTGTGCAAGAGAGCCAAGGACCCGGGTGTGCCCATATAGCCCACCTCATCAAGGAAGCTGAAATGGAACAAGATTGCATGTCATCAGTTCCAGGGAAAAATCAAGTAACATCAATGGAAATCTAAACCTGCCTTTCATGGGAACTATTTTATCCTGTGGAACATTTTTTATAAATAGTATCGGCAGCATCACCTGGAATTGTAAAGTAAGGAAGGGGACTTCAAAGATCAGTTCATCCAACCTTCTGTAAAAGGGTTTCTAGATTCCTTTTGTTAAGTAGAGAGAGAGCCACATCACACTACGTTTTGAAGAGACTGTGCCATCCACTGTCTTCCCAAGATCCATGGCCAGCTTGACACAAAATGTCTGAACATGACTGACTTAACCTCTGCATCGGGCTTCTTAAGGATTCCTAGTTTATCTGCTCCTTCCCACACCTGGTTTTGTTCCTGACAAGACAGGCAACAATACTCAGCACCTGTCCTAAGCACCCAACTTACCCATAAAGGACTCAGAACGACTAGGAGTGGACCCTGTCAAAAAGATGAGTATAATTGCAGACACTTTAGAATACACACTTACAGGAAAACCCAAACAATAACAACAGTCACTACTGACCGCCATGGATTCACTGCCAAGAATCGAGAGCCAGGCGGTTCTGCTCTTTCTCTTTGCATCCCCCATTGCTGATTGTTTCCAGCATATTGAATTTGCATTTTCCCAGGGCTGCCTCTGGAAGAGACTGACTTTGAAGACTCTTCATCTGGGATGACAAACCTGAAGAAAGTACTAGCCTTCAGAACATACTTTTGGGTAAAGGGGACTTAATGAAGGGACAACATCGTTGTGTTCACAGCACCCAGACACCTACTTAACTGCTTTTGAAAAGTGGGGAATGATGGAACGTGGTTCCTCTGGTTCCAGGTGACCTCGGGCCAAAGAAGAACCCAGATCTCATTAAACAGGAGATTGGCAGCAGAGAAAAATGAAGCAAATGTCTATGGATATTTAGATTTCCCCTTCTCCCAGCTACCAACACCCTGTCTCTAAAGAGGTGAGGTTCGCCTCTAATATCTCGCTGCCTTCCACTGGGGAGCCAATCAGCTCCTCACAGAACACTCATTTCAAAGGCGAATGTGAAGTACCAAGGTTGCCTTGCCAGCAAGCTGGATGCCTAAACAAACTACTCTAAACACATTTTTACCTTCAACAATCCAGCGTCAGGGCAAAGCTATAGATTACGGGACAAGAGGTCATCGGAGAATCTTTTCAAAGCATCAGTTGAGGAAGGTTTGATGAGTTCCCTTTCGTCCTTTTCTCGAGAGAAAAAAAAAATGGGACCCGTGAGAACAGCAGATGCACCAAGCTGAGAGCTTGAAAAAGAGCAGTCAGTGACCACATTTGAAAATGCTCCGAGGCTTAACGTTTGCTTTTTCCTCCACCCAGGATTTCCAGAAGTGGAGGCACTTACCCAGGATTATATGAAGGAGTGGAGATCATTTCCCACCTCTATTTACATCTTACCATCTACTCTGAAATGTCCACAACAAGACTCTGAAAGACTCAAATAACCCAATTTCAATCCTAGAGAAAATGGGATAATGCTTAGCTTACCTCAAACTTGCCCAAGCTACAAGAAGGGGCTTGGGAGCCCCAGAGATGGGGTGGACCTTTAAAGTCTGGGGTTCAGTCTCTCATCCATCCTCCCTGGGTGGTCAGCTTTCATTCTGATACTAAAGGAGTCAAGGTCTTCTGCTCTGGGGAGAAGGGGGCAGAGTTAGTTAGCTCCTGGCTCCATGGCTTCATGGCTTGTGGCTTCTCTTTATTGTCCCGCTGAGTCCTCAGAACAAATTTCTAAAGTTCTTTGACTAACTGCTTCCCTTAGCCTTTGTTTCTTCCACAGTCCAACCCTCCCATATGTGACAGCATCTCTCCTGATAATATCGCAGTATTTTGGCCCTGCCAGGCAAAATGGGGATTCACAGAACAAATGAAAACTGCTCCAATTAAGCAGGGAAACAAACTCCATTAGTAAGAGATGCCATGAGAATCAGGGAACATTTCTGTTTTCAGGGATGAGTTGATGCAGACCTGGGTCCCTTTGGAAAGAGTGGCTTTGGTTCAGCCTAACTAAATCCACGCTGGATTTAGATAAAGCCAGTTTTGTATTCTTCAAGCTCTGAGAAAATAGCTAGGAAGAAGGGGGGTGGTGAAATGTAAGTTAAATAAAAGAAGCCGATGGAGTCTCATAAAACAAAAGCAAATCTTAGAGATGGTCCCCCAACAGAAACACAGAAACTGGGTGAGTGGCCATGGTCAAGACAACAGCGTTGGCTTCTCTAGTTCTGGCCTCTAGACAAAGTTCCCGTGGACTTGACCCTTTGCCTGTGTCAGGAGATCACTGGAAGCCATACTGCACAGAAGCAAGAAGCAATAGGGTTTTCTTTGCTGCTACACCAATCTTGCCTCAACCTAGCTTTTCCTTCCCAAGCCGGCACAGCCTGGTTTGTCATCGGAAGCATTTCTGATTTATTTTTCAAGGTCACTCCACTCCTGAAACATGACTTCATTGCACCTGCAGTGCTTCGTTGTCCAAATGTCCTTGGCAAGCCTCACAGTCTTTGGACAGTGTCACGATTTTTTTTTTCCCAAACAGGAAATCCTCCCTCCTTCCATAGCTTAAGAAGGCTACTGCAGAGTATCCGTTTAACACAGCCCTTGTTCCTAAGGGGGCCTCTATTAACGTTGTAGAACAGCACCCCATTATCCGAGCTGTGAGGCTGGGCTGATGCTCAGATTCTAATTTAGAAATATTTAACTCTTTCAAAGTCCCCTTGTGGATCCTTTCCTGAGCATAGTCAATGGCTACTTGCTCTGGTGGAAAAAGTACAAGAAACCTTGAGATATAGGTATACCATACTGAGGGAGCCTGGGAAGGGGTAGCGTTGGGGGCCAGATACATGGATGAAAACTGTTTTCTTTCTAGTCAGTGGCTTCACAACCCCCAGAGAAACCTATTGCCTTTAAACAATCCATCATTATGAACTAACATGCTCAACCCTGTCTCCTAGGCAAATATTAAAAAACACTCCTTTGGAGCCAAAGGAAATTCTTGAGATCACCTAACATGACCCTCTCACTTCATGCTCAAGTAAAGCAAGGCCAAAACAGACAAGCAGCTTTCCTAGTTTGCACAGCCAATGAGGCATAGAGCTAGGGGCAGGCCTGGTACAATATTTCTTATTTCTATTCTGTTTTTCCTTTAGTAGAGACTGGGGAAATAGTGCTTATTGCACACCTATTGATCAGATTCTGTGCAAAGGGCTCACATCAATTACTTTATTGAATCCTAACCACAACCCAGAGTCAGTTTTATAAATGAGGGAAATGGAAGCACAGGATTCTTAAGTAACATGCCTGAAGTCACACAGTTTCTGAGGAGAGCCATCATCCCTAATAAAAATGTCCTTGACTTTTTCTGTGTGGAAAGCGGCTGGCACAATGAGTCCTGCAGCCGCCAACTTGGATCACAGTAACATTCTCTTGGTAGCCTTCCTAATTCCACCCTTCTCTCTATTTCCTCTTAACAAATGGAAATTCTTGCTCCACCCCACACCCCGCCTCCTGCTAAGTACTCCAGGGGATCATCAACCCTCGCAGTCAGAAGTAGTAAGAAATAACTTTGCAGCAATTCTTACTGTTTAAATTTTTGAAGATAAGGCCAGGACACAAATATTGGTTTCCCATCCCAGTCCTGGGACAGCACAGCAGCCTCCAAACAGAGCCAGGATCAAGGAGGGAGAGACTGCAGAATTACAGTGTAAGTTCCTCGGGTATCAGTTTGACCCCAGAATTTGCAAAGAGTTATGAAGTGTGTTCAAACAAGCTACAAATAGCATCAAATGCAAACATTCTATGAATTTCTAGGCTAAGATCAGCAGGGTGCAGGCCAAATTCTCATAACCCCCTCCCAGACTCCCAAGGCTCCCTGAAGGAACACATCAGAGGACATCTGTGAAGACTGGAGCTACAAGTAGGCAGGAAAGGAGCTCTATGTATTTATTCCCTCAGGCCTTTCTCCCTTCTCCTCACCCTAGGAGAACAATGTGCTTCAACTCTAACTTTGCCACTTTAGAGGACAACTTAGAAAGATATCAGAAACTTGGTGGTTTCAACCATCAGGCAAAAACTCCAACACTGAACCCCATTTTCCTCTTTTTGAAAGTTTACGTTAAAAGAACTAGATCTCCTAAGAAGGAATTCAAGTCTCCTCAGTGTGATGGCTCCTTGGCAGTACCTCAGACATATATTAGCTACAGCAAATACTGCAGTTCCTGAAAAAAAAAATCCTCCAAGGGAGTAATCCTATGCTGGCGGCTCCTTTCTTCGCTACCACCCTTCAAGGCCTAGTGCCACTGCGGGGGCTCATAAACAGGGGTCAGAATCTGTAAGAGTCTATTCCCTCCTGCTGCTCAACATACATGCTCTTCCCTGTAGTTACACACACACACACACACACACTATTCCAACCCCAAGTACCCTCAAGCCCACAGGAATTCCCAGGTGCCCTAAACAAGTCACTGTGACCCTGAGGGATTACTACCTGGGGCTCCAAGCGAATGAAACTCAACCCGGTGGTCTCTTATTTGTCATCCTGAGAAATCCTAAGCACCAAATCCCCCAATCCCTCTGAATTTGAATTTGTGGTTTTAACCTTTAATAGCCTTTTCAGGTAAAAAAAAAAAAAATAACCAAGACCAATTTACTGACTTTGTAGCTACATTGTACTTGAAAAGGTTCTTACTTAAAAGGAAGAAAAAAGACGAAGAAAAGGGGCGTATGACTGCTCGTCAGGTGACGTACCCGCTGATGAATGAAATAAACAGAGAGGAAGGAAGAGGGAGAGCCAGCTGGACCCATCCTTTCATGGCACTGTAGCTCAAAGACTGGAATCTGCTTGTTAACCATTGTTAACTAGTATTTTTAGTCCCGGTTGCTTTTAGCCTCTGTATAGTTCCTTTTTTAAACACATTTTCTATACGTTAATAAAAGATCCTGAAGGAAAAGTATGTGTCTTCTCCATTCTGTTGGGGAATTATGGGGTGGGGGAGGGTGCCTTTTTAACCCTGGTTTTTCTGGGTTTTTCCCCATCAGTTACCAGCCCACTTCTACCACATGCCTCCTCTGCATCACCCTTTTAAGTGAGCTGTCCTTGTCCCTAGTGTCCCAGATCCACTCTGTGACAGTGGTCAATCTGCCTCCCTCCTGCTTCTCTCCTGGTACCCTCGACCCTGGCGCGCCCTGTGACAGCCACATCTCCAAATCTCTAGTGCCACCTATGGGTGTTGGCTGAGACAATTTGACAGACCCAACTTTCTAAGCCTCCCTGCCTTCCCTTCGCACCCTGCCCTGGTAGGGCCTGATCAGTTCCAGCTTGGAACTAGCTCAGTCAGTTTGCCACCAACCGTTCTAATGGTGGCTCTGGCGGTCAACTCTTCCTCAGCTTGGCCACCCATGAAGGCCTCTTCCCTTTTTCTTTCTGCTAAGTACTCTAAACCCCAGGCTATACGAGGCAAGCTGGGAAATAGTTCCAAGAAGAGGATAAGAGAAATGCTCATCCTGTTCAATAGTATAAGGTCACAAGGTCGGAAAGTCTCAGGGTAACTGAGCAGTAGAGGGCGCCAAGCGCGGTAAAATGGAAGTGCTCTGCCCCACTGAGAGGAAGGGGGTTTGGAGGAGCCTGGCTAGAGGAGGGCAGAGTGGCCAGGTCCCATGATAATGCAAATTATCAAAGTGGGAAAATGCCAAGGGGCCTGAGGTGGTGTATAGATACCAAGCCAGAAGGGATTCAATATAAACGTTTGCTGACTCCCCGGGACCGCGCGCGAGAGAGCGAGCATAAAGCCTTAGCTCCCCACAGGCAACCACCACAGGCCAAACCTTGTGAAATTCCAAACTACTAAGGGAGAGCAAACTTTCTTCGTGTCCCTTGTTAAAATGGAGAAATAGTGAGTGAAAGAAGGGACTGAATTACACTCCTGAGAAGAAGCCACGAAGAAGAATTCATTGCTTCCCCTCCTCCTCCACCCCCACCCCTGCCAACAGGCTTCTTCACACCTGGGCCAGACTGAGCCACTGAAGGAGCCCTTCCTGAACAGAAGATGGGGGTGTAGGGGCACTTTCTCCGCCCTTTCCCTGTGTGTCATTTCCTAAATGCTAGTCCTTCCCCCTCCCCGCAGCTTCTGGAAGGAAGGCCTTTAAAAGCAGCCACATTTCCCGGCCCTGCTTTGAACAAACCGCCTCAGACTTTTGTACCAGAGGAGTGATGACTATAATATTGAGATGAAAACCTGCCATTTGAATCTCATCTCTCCCGCTCTTTG